ATATTTTTTATTTTTTAGTTTTTAATCTTAATAAGAGTAATAGATCATAAAATGCTAAATTTGTTAAGTAACTTAATTTTTTTGATACACTAATTGATATAAAATTTTTTTTATCACAAACAACTTTTAATAATTACATAATAAACAAAATCTTCAATAATTACACAAAAATAACAAGAATTAATATAATATCAAAAGAATTGACAATAATATAAATATCAAAACAACAAAAAAAAATTAAAATTCATATACAAAATTATAAATTAATATATAACACAATCAAAATATAATATTTAATTTTAATTAATTTTCATCTAACTTATACAAAAAAAATAATCAAAATTTTTCATTTAAAATATCTATATATTATATTAATTATAAATTTTCAAAACCACTAATTAAATTTTATCTAAAAAATTTTCAAAAATTAATTATAAAATTAAATAAAAAAATTCAATCCCACCCTCCAAATACCCTACCACACCTAATCCCTCCCCACCCCCATCAATCCCTCTCCACCTTCCCCCCAACATCCCACCACAAGCCCAAAATTCCCAATCAATTCTCGATAATTATCAAATGATAATCTTTCTAGAAATGGGACCCTTCTAGAAACGCTCCAAAATTTCTGTTATAAAATTCTTCGTCTGAATCTTACTCTCTGGCTTTTCAAAAAATTTTTCTTATTTTGTCTATCATCTCCATTTTCTCTAATCCTTTATCACTATCACTTGTGACTTGCTTAGTCATCTACAGATAATCTCGTTCGTCTTTCAAACTCTCACAAGACACAACAGATCATTTTACAAAAATTTTACAAAAAAAGGTAATTTAACTTTCTTTTCTTACCTTGTTTTAATCTTGAATGTTGATTTGAAAACTTGAAGTTGATTTGAATTTGAATGCCGAAAATGCCTTTTGAATGGTGAAAGTTGAAACTTAAAATAATTGATCTGTTTTCTAGCTCGTTTTAAAATTTTTTTGATGATAAAGATCTGAGATTATGAGCATTATTTTTTTTTTGGGTTTTACTTTTACTTTTGCAGGTTGTTGTTTATTTTTGCAGGCCCTTAAAATTTTTGTTTTTTGTTTTAAGAACTATTAGATCGCATGAAGTAGGAAAATAGGAATAGGTGACAATAACGGTCCGTTATTGCCACTATTATCTGTTACACCATTATTTTGTGACCGTTACTCTCTGTTTTTGCTGTGAATGAATTTTTCAACCATTTTTTATCTATCAAACCGTTTTTTGTGGCCGCTATTCCGCTATCAAACCATTTTTTGAATCCCTGACTATGACAAATAGAACACAAACCAAAAACTATACTACAGCAGAAATTAGGGAAAGCAAAAATGCTGGTAGTAGACATGGAGAGTAGGATGCAAAAACCAGTAAAAAAACACTGGTGATAGTGAGTAGCACTAGTGGAAACCAACCCAAAATAAAAAGAAATACAAGTGAAAAGCAGAAGGGACAAAAGGTGAGACGGAAACTATTTAATTCTTTTGTCGTCTTGTTGTGTTTTTGTATGGTTCATTTTGTGTGGGAAACTCATGGCTCACGAGTCTTCTTTAGTAGAAAAAACAAAGTTACTAACATGATGTATGAAAACTTTCTGTGAAAAAGAATGGTTTAAGGTTTATGCTTTGTTTTTTTTTTTTTTTACCGGTGCTCTCCATAAGAAGATTGTTTGTCAATGACCTTTAAACTTAAGCTTCTGCATGTTTTGATTTTTCGGGGCTCTTTTTTTTTTTGCATGAAGTTGTTCGTATTTCATTTGGTGCATGAAGATCAAAAGGAAATGTTGACATTTTAAGGAAAGGTGCATCAAAAAATTAAAAGAAAATTGCATGTGGTTTTTTTTTTTTTTTAAATGTGAAAATGAAAAAAAATGAAGTAATGTCTTAAAAAAAAAGAAATAATAAAAGACAGTAATAATAAAAAATGTCATAAAATTTTTGGTCTTATAAATGTTTAAATAGGCTCTTTTTTTTTTACATTATTATTATTATTATAAGATAATTTTAGTTTATGTTTGATTTTGATTGCTCAATAACTTGGTCTATGCATTAGCCTTTTAATAAGTATACCTATGTCCTCTTTATTCCAAGTTGGCATTTTTTTTAAAATTTAAATTCAAAATAAATAATAAGAAAAGAAAAAGAAAAGAGTAAATAATTTCTAAAAAATTAACTTCCTTTTCCCTGCCTAGATGTTGGAAGAAGATCAAAATTGTATTCTAAAAACAATAATTTCGTCTAGGAGTTGAAAATTTATTAAACAATAATAAATATTAACAAATAATAATAATAAAATTTTAATAAAAAGATAAAAATAAAGCATATAATGATTTTTTATGGTTTTTTAGGAAAATTAACAATGAGCTTGTACAAAAAATATATACAAATATAAAAATCTAAGTTTTAGGAAAATTATAAAAAAAAAGTTTGCTCCGAAAGGCTGCCGACCAAAACCTTAAAATCAAATTCCTGAATTGAAACCCTAAATTAAAACCCTATAATGAAACTCTAATCCTAAGCCCTAAATGAAATTCTAAGTAAAAACTAAAATCCTAGGTGGGAACCAAAACCCTAGATAAAACCTGAAAGCCTTAAGTAAAACCCTAAACTGTACAACCCAAAACCCAAGGTGAAACCCTAAACCCGAGATAAAACCCTAAAAGAGAAACCAAGGCCCTAAAGTCTCAAAACCCCAAAGTCATTTTAAATGTTAAGGATTTGTATGAAAACCTTTTATAAAATAATTTATTCGGCTGGATGTTAGGGCATTTAAGAAATTTTATTTCATTAAAAATTTTCATATATTTTCATAACTCAAAATAAATTCATTCTGTCAAAATAACAAATATAAAATTATGAAATAATAAAAATAGGATTAAATATAAAAAGTCATATTCAAATTTTGCCTAAATGTTGGAAAGTCCAGGTAATCTCTATATAGTTGAAAACTCAATTTCTAAATTCACATTTGATCATCATGTACATACATTTCATTTTTAGATTAATGTGCACATTCATAATGCATATAAAATGTCTGTTCTAATTATTGATGTTAATATTAATTCTATTATTTTTCATTGTTTATTGCAGAAAGTTTTCTTAAAATTTTAGTTTTAAACAAATAAAAATAAAATAGCCTTCCATGAAATATAATTATCAGTACTCTGCCTATATGTTGGAGAGTTGTCAATAATTATCATTTACAAAGAATGTTATTTTATTATTTTTTAAAAGAATATTGCGATAAATTTTAGGTGAAAAGACTATCTTTAAATTCTACATTTATATCGAGGAATTTGAAAGTATTTCTTTAATCTAAAATTTTCATAATATTCCCAAATAAAAATTTCTTTAATTAATTTTCTTTCTTAAACAGTAAGAGAATTATAATTAAATTTCATATAAAAAACTATTTTTATCCAAAACTATAGATAGTGCATAATTAATTAGTTGGTACCAATTCAATGGGTATTGAGAAAGTGCTAATCTTTCCTCAGAGGTAACTTACTCCTAAACCCAATCTTATTTTCATAGACCAAAATTATCTTTTTAATAAAGCTTTAACATGTTTTATTTAAAAGGTAAAATTTTTGAGTAGTCAATCACACCCTAAAAAAGATTGGTAGCAACTTTTTATGTTTTTCACAATTTTAAAATGTTTATATCTAGCGATCGAGTCTCTGGACCGATACATTATGATAGCGGCCAGGTCAATGGCATAGTGTAAACAAGGATTCCTTTCCCTAAAACACCTAAGTCTCACATTGGCTAGATGAAATCCTTAACTCCTCTAAACATTTGATCTTCACCTTGAATTATCCCAAACAAGAGACACTTTAGTAACTTCGAAATAAGCCATACACTTAACTAAAACATATGCATAAGATCAAATTTACGTCAGATGAGCACACATTAGGAAAGGTCGAATTAAGGCAAATAATAAATCCCTCACGTTGATTCCATGAAATCACGACCTCAGTCCAAATGAGGTCGGTCCTTAGCAATCCATTTCGAGCTAATCAATATATGTAAAATAAATTAATCACATACCCAATAGTATGATACTCAGATTGTTCGACTGAGGGATAGAATGTTAGGAGCATTTAGTGGTCAAAGGGCATTGTGGTTGTTTTCCCCTATTAGAGGCTAACAACAAACAACTAAAGGGCATTTCAAACATTTGTGCTAACCTAACCTGATTCAATACCACATTAGCTCAACCATGTTACTATTGTCCTCCATTGGCCTGCTGCCTCTTACCTATAAATATGGCAATCTTGATACTATCATTCCAGGTCAATCATTACACTAAACCAGTATCTTCCTAACTCAGATCTCTCTATTCAAGTTCCTGACTTTAACAGTTAGGTATAAATTAAGGATTGCTGTCATAATACAATACATGCAAAAACTCCTTATCTTGCTACATAATACTTATTTTTGTCTATCTTTCAAATGATACTCTCACGTCAGAGCTCAGTACCAACAAGTATAAATGAAACAATTTGAAAGTTAAAAACTAACATAAAACCAAAATAAAAAGTTAGGGGTTATGAATAAAAACTTTAAAATATACATACAAATTTTTTTAAATATTTATTTATAAAAGTATTATTTGATTGATGCAAACAATTTTAGTAATTTTTAATTATTTATTAATTTTTTTAAATATGACAAATTTTATTATATTGATACCATTATTTTTAATCTTATCATCTATCCAAATAGAATCTCAATCAAATATTTATTCTGTTAATGTGAAATAGATCATTTGTATATATTGCATGTCCTATTCAATGTAGTTAATGAATTTATATAGAGTGAAATAGATAAATATTGTGAATTCGAATAAATCATATTCTGGAATTGATTTTGGTAATTCTTAGGTGCATGGTAGCCAATATAATATATAAGACAAATATTATATATATATATATATATATATATCCAATCCAATGAAAAAAAGTAAATGGGAACCAGAATTGATTTATTCAATTGTAATATTTGCATAAATAATGAAAGAACAAAGAATTTCATGGACATTTTTATGTTTGGAATGACTAGTAGAACTAGGTGCATGCAATCTCTCTAGAGGAACCTTGACCGCTTGCATTCTGGCGGAAGACCCTGAGGGAACCGTTTGAAGTCGGTGCAATAATTGTAAACCATGTACTTGTTTTGCACCCATCTAATTCTGTTTCGGCCAGCTGCTTCAAGAGTTTGATCCTGCCAAGCATTTGTCTGCAGTGAATTGGTGGACTTGGAGGCACAAGACGACTGAGAGGATGACCAAATGCAGGCATTGGCGTTGAAATTTCTGTATGAGGCAGTGAAAGGAGCGTGAGTCCAGTCAGTTTTCACAAGGCCACCCCTTGTTGCCCAGTCATCAGCATTCCAGAGACTCGAGTAAATCCTCATGGGTTGGTTGCTGGGGAATGGAACCCCCATCGATTCCATGTTGTTGAAAACTCTGATAGGAATTTTGTCAACCATGAATCTGACATGGGAAAAGAGCCAAACAAATAGCAAAAATGCTATTAGAAAATTTGTAGTATATCATTTTGAATGTGATCATATATGGTCCAGGCTGATTGAACTTTGAAGAGACTCATTGAGAGTGCATATCAATGCCAGTGCGCTTACATGATGCGTAGACGGTTCCAGACAATAGAGTAGGTGTGGAAGGCTATCGTTGGGTCAAACCAGAGATAAAATTGTTGTTCCCTGTTACCCTTTCCCTGGCTGTACACATTGGTATGGAGGATGTAAGGATCTCCAGACAAGTTGCCCAAAAATTCAAAGTCAATCTCATCATGGTTTGGCCCTTCAGATGATAACTGCAAAATGCAGTACATATAAATCAATTAGCTAAGGAAATGTTACCTAATTTTACAGAACAGCAGAGCTGTAGAATATTTGTTGTTTGGAATTAAGAGTCCAGCCGACCGCGCGATTGTTTCGCGGAATATTTGATAATGAATTTAAAAACTACTTACGTAATATGTAGTGACAGTGCCAGCTGAATTGCCTGGAACTAGCTTGATTTGCATGTCAATTCTTCCAAAGAGGTATTCATTCTTGGACCGGAAGCCAGAGCCAGAATCCTTGTCCAGAGAAAGTGTGAGAAGTTGGCCTCCATTGAGTATCTTAGCACGCTGATCGCCGCCCCATGTAATGTCAAAGTTTTGATAAAAGTTCCCTTCTGAGGGTGTTAAAAGAGTAAATACAAATAGAGAAAGCAGAAGTACTGATGAAAGTATTGTGGAAGAGGATGACATCTTCCTTTTCCTAAACAAACACAGAGAGCTTTGGAAATTAAGATGAGAAAGCTGAATGTGAGAACAAGCAAGTGTGATGTTAGGGCTATTAAATCCCTTTTTATAGGCTAATAATAGTTCTAGTCAAATCTAGCTGGCAATATCTGTTGTTTTTTGAATAGTAGAATGAAGCTGGCAAATTCATTTTCATATCCGGATGGGAAGGAGCATATGAAGCAGGAAAAAAGGGTTTCGGAAAGGTTCATAGTCTTGTGGGTCTTTTACGCCTGAACCGACCGAACGTGTTGACTATAACGGATAAGGTATGTGAAAATGCTTGAGACAGAAAAAATAATAGAAGTTTGAGTAATTAAAAGAAAACAACAAAACCGTCATCCTCAGCCAGCATTAATTTGTCTACAAAGACAAATAAATTATTTGCTTCCATTACAAGGACTTACCATTCAAAACTTATGACAACCTTTGGAACATAAATCAGGTTCCCTCTCTGTCAAGCATGCACATGTACACCTAAGTTACAGGTCCAGGTCAGTCGCAAAAGGCACAACATATATATATATATATATATATATATAAATAGTTAATAATTTAGATTAGACGATTTAGCTCTTTGTTATAAAGTGAAAAAAGGTAACATGTTTGACAAGCAAACTTCACCATCTAAAACATAATACAAAAATAATATGAAAAAAGATAAGAATGTGATATGGTTTAAAATTTTCATAAAATTATATATGGATTTAACAAAAACAAAAAATACATTATGTATTTTTTATGTCGATACAAATTATAATATTAATTACGAATACACGAATTGATAGATGTATTTACAAGGAAGCAGCATGGAACGGGAGCTTAATTGGTTAGAAAGATTGGAAAGACGAAGCTTAGTTTTATAGTCTTCTGTCCTGTGTATGTATTAAATAAACTCACGTGTTAAGTTTATCCCCAACATGCATGTCTTCTGTCTCCAGTTTTTCAGGTAGCTCAAAGTTGCCAGCTTTGTCTGATCTGGTTGCCTTGGCGTCCCCAGTCCCCCACCTCTCACATAATTTTCAATTGGTTATGCCTCTTAATTACATCTACTACAGTCAACTCGGATATAGCATGAATGACCATATAAAAGTTCACAAGTCACAATCCCAATTCTCTGTCATTCCCCCAGACTCATTTTCTGGTAATTTCCTATGCTCTTTCCTCTCCGTCTCATCCTAGTTCTAAAGCCTGTCCAGTTTCCAGTCAGGGAACAAAGACAATTTTGCCAGCTTTATTCTACTTTTCTTCAACAACTCGGCTTTTCCAGCTATATCTCCCTTTAGCCAACCGTTTAGTACGATTTCAAGCACCCCTAAGAATTCTATATAAAGGATCTTCAAGAGCAAGTTCTAGCATCATACAAATTTCCAAAGCTCTGTCTTTGTTCAGGAAACGGAAGATGTTGTCCTCTTCTAAGCTTTTGTTTATAATTCTGCTATCTGTGTTTGTATTTACTCTAATAACAGCCTCAAAAGGAAACTTCTTTGAAAACTTCGACATTACATGGGGCGGCAACCAACGTGCTAAGATACTCAATGGAGGCCAAATTCTGACCCTTTCTTTGGACAAAGCTTCAGGCTCTGGCTTCCGATCCAAGCATGAATACCTCTATGGAAGAATTGAGATGCAAATAAAGCTAGTTCCTGGCAACTCAGCTGGCACTGTCACTACATATTATGTAATTTTCAATTCATTATTAATTCTGTGGCTACTATAATCTATATTTTGCATAGCTAAATTTATCTATGTTTTGCAGTTGTCATCTGAAGGGCCAAACCATGATGAGATTGACTTTGAATTTTTGGGCAACTTGTCTGGAGATCCTTACATACTCCATACCAATGTCTATAGCCAGGGAAAGGGTAACAAAGAACAACAATTTTATCTCTGGTTTGATCCCACGACAGCTTTCCACACCTACTCTATTGTCTGGAATAGTCATTGCATCATGTAAGCACTATAATGCACGCACTTTGAATCTCTTTAGCATTAGCATATATAGCTTGTCATGTATGATGACTTTCAAAACATGTAGTTTTCTTATGGATTTGCAATTTGTTTGGCCTCTTGCCTTTCCAGATTCATGGTTGATAACATTCCTATCAGAGTATTCAACAACATGGAATCTATTGGTGTTCCATTCCCCAGAAACCAGCCCATGAGGATTTACTCGAGTCTCTGGAATGCTGATGACTGGGCAACAAGAGGCGGCCTTGTAAAGACCGACTGGACATACGCTCCTTTCACTGCTTCTTACAGAAATTTCAACGCCAATGCTTGCATTTGGTCATCATCTCAGTCATCTTGTGACTCCAAATCAACGGATGCTCTGCAGACAAATGTTTGGCAAGATCAAACACTTGATGCTCCTGGAAGGAAAAGACTAAGATGGGTGCAAAAGAGGTACATGATTTACAATTACTGCAGAGACTTCAAACGATTCCCTCAAGGGCTCCCACCCGAATGCAACCGATCAAGATTCCTCTAGAGAAAGTGCCCAACCAAGTTTTTAATGACTACTTCAATGTAATATATATGTTAGTCCGAGAAATTCCTTATTCTTTATGATACATAAACATCTTTCTCTTTGCCTTATTTTTCTTCACTACTTTTAGTTTTCTAATTGTGTGCAATTTATCGAAAAGGTTTATATTTTACTTTTCTGGACTAAATTTTAGAAGCCAATCCAAAATTTTGAAGAGATTTAAACATAAATATTAGATCGGTTAAATAAGTTTGATTAAATTAAATGAGACCCGATAAAAAATTGGTTCAAGCTTTAGTTTTATCATTTAAGATTTGGGCTTGGCTCAACAATTAGTAATACGATAATATAATTTAATCTATATTGATATTTTTCATAATGGAACAAAGTCCATTTTACTTTATTTTTATAATGAGACAAGATCCATTTTGCTTTATAGTTTATTAAAAAGAAAAAAAACTCATTTTGCTTCATTTGGCACGAAGCATCAACACCATTTATAACAAAAAAGGCTCATTCTCAGTTTCCCACTTTCTTTATTCTAGAATTAGCCACTATTCAAAATTCTGAAATCATTTTGCTTCGTTTCACTTTTGTTTCTCCTCCATTTTGTAATTTTAAATTTTAAGAAGAGTTTTGGAGATTTATCAACAAGCAAGGAAACTATTAGAAAAGATGCTAATCCATTTTTTCAATTACTTCGAAATTTTATTTGAAATTTAATTTCAACTTGTATTGTTTTTTAATTTTGATTTAGATTTTCATGATCTAAAGAAATATCTAAATTTATTGTGTTTTACAATATACTTATTGGTCACTATGTGTTTTTTAAACTTTATTTTAAATTTTGAAAATTAAATATGTTGTAATGTACAAAATTTTTTGTGATTTTTATTTTTAGTTTGAAGAAAAAAAGTAGTATCTTGAATTGGTTTTAGCTCACTTATTATATGTAAGAATAGGTTTGGATAAACAATAAGACTCGAAGAGTCAACTTGGGTTAGGCCTAGCCCTGCTTGTAGTCTTTTCATATTTGTTTAAACTTGACCTAAATTTGATCCAACTCGACCCTTAAATGAATTTATATTTAATATTTTTTTTTTGTAAGAAAAATTTGGGAGTAGATAGATTGTTTAGTCTCTTAGGTCAAAACAAGATGTGTCGTACCTGACAGTTTAAGACAAATGGTTGCAAGTCATGCATTCGAGATGATCACAACAAGTGGCCACTAACAAGACTTGAACCTAAGACCTTTTCGTCGAGGGGGCGAGCCTTAACCGATTGAACCAACCATTTGTTGGTAATTTATATTTAATTTATATTTAATATACTGTCAATGTATAAATACTATACACTATAAATTCACCAAAATTACCACATTATTGATTTGCAAATTTAAAATTTTAAATTCTTTAAAAATAAATATTTCTATGATCCACTGATAATGTATAACATTTATACATTGACACAAAATCAAATATAAATCCTTTACCAAAATTAGTTTTAACTTGTAAAAAGTTTTGAAAATGATACCTAAAGGTTTTGAAAAAAAGTTTTTTGAGATTCCTTCAAATGACACTCACTATTACCTTGAAATTTTAAAATGATATATATGAAAATTTTGAAAATGATACTCAATGTCATAGCGTATCGATATGGAGACTTAATCGCTAGATATAAAAATTTAAAAGTTGTGAAAAACACATAGAGTCGCCACCAATCTTTTATAATGGTGTGATTGGCCACCTAAAAATTTTTTCTTTTTAATAAAAACAATGAGTTTATTAAAATGATAATTTTGGTCTACGAAAATAGAATCAGGTTTAGGAGTCGGTTATACATAGAGAATTATTAGCACCCCCACAATGCCCATACAATTGGTATCAATTAATCATGCGCTATTTATAATTTTGGACAAAAATTATTTTACATGAAATTTAATTACAATTCCCTTCATTCCGTGAGAAATTAAATTAGTTTTAAAAAACCCATTATTTAGGAATATTAAGAAAATTTTCAAATTAAAGAAATACCTTCAAAGTTTATGATATCAAGGCAGAATTCGAATATAGTCTTTTTATTTAATATTTATCATAACATTCATTCTAAAAATAATAAAATAATATTTTTTATAAATAATAGTTATTGATGACTCTTCAATATTTAGGCAAAGTACCCATCAATTATATTTCATGAAATGCTATTTTAATTTTATTTATTCAAAACTAAAACTTTTTTTAAAAAATCTTTTAATGTAAAAAAAATGGAATTAATAACATTATTAATATTAAACGACCATAACTAGAGCAAACATATATACACATTATAAATAAGTACATTAATTAAAAAAATGAAACATACATATATCATGATCAAATATGAATTTAAGAATAGCGTTTGTAAATATAAAGAAACCACCTGGACTCTCCGATATCTAAATAGAGTTTGAGTGTGAATTTTTATATTTAAAAATCCTGTCTGATTATTATTTTTTTATATTTTACATTTGTTATTTTAACAGAAAAAATTTATTTATTTATTTACTTATTTATTAAACTGTGAAAATGTCTGAAAATTCTTAATAAAATAAAATTTTTTAAATACTTCAACATTTATGCAGCATTTGAGAACAGATTGTTTATAAAAGATTTTTATGCAAATCCTTAGAAATTTAAAATGAATTTAAGATTTTAGGTAGATTCGAGTTTGAATTTTAAGAATTTACAAACATTTCTAAAAATCTTCAACATCTAGATAAACTTTCAGAGTAAGGTTGCTTTCTTAATTCATCAAAATATGAATTTTTTTTATATGCTTATATACTTCGTATATATTTATTCTTTCTTTAAAATCATCATCATCATCATTATTATTATTATTAATGCTATTATTATTATTATGCATAAATTTAAAGTGCATAAAAATAAAATATATGAAACATAGATTTAAATACGAAAGCTTAAGTTAAAAAAGAGCACGAGAATCCAAATAATAAAGAAATTAAACTTGCAATTAAATTAAAACATCATAAATATATATTCTTATATATGCATGAGATTCAAATTATACTCAAACAACATGAGAAAAATACGCTTAAGCATAAATGGTATAACAAATGTATGAAAATGAATCTTAAAAATCGAACAAACTTTGAACCACACATTTTAAGTCTTTGTTTATAAAAAATTTTATTACTTAAAAGCCTAAACAGCATATCAAAATATAGACTTCTAAAATTTAATCCTTAAGTTACCTTTGGTAAACTCTTTACCGGGATGAACCAATCAAAACTAGGTTTCTCTAAAGAAGAAAGGAATAAAGCTTGATCTTGAAAGTTCTTCCTTATCATTTTCATACAAGTATGTAGCAAAGAAAGGAAAGAAAAATAGTATAACCAGCAAAATAAACAAGATATAAAGATGACAAACAAGAAAAATGTAGAAAAGAATGGGAAAAAAATGCAAAGTAATAAACCTCAAGCTTTCACAAGGAAAGAGGCAACCATTTTACCTTTTCTTATTTCTTTTATCTTTCCCTTTCTGCTATTATCATTTTTTTCCTTTTCCACGTTCTACTTTTTCTTTTGTTATATTCCTCTGCCTTTTCTTTCATGTTTTCTACATTATTTTTCTTAGTGACCACCTAGTTTTTACACTCCTCTTCTTCCACTGCGTGCCTAATTTTGGTTCCATTTGCTTTATTTTTCTTTTCCTCTTTCTTTATTCTATTCAGCATCTTTTGTTTTGGTTTTCTTTCACCTTCAACTGCTGCCACTTCTTCCCTTGGTTGTTCTACTCTTCTTTTTTTTTTTATGTTGTTGTCTTCTTCCTTCCTTGCTTACAATTTTTGCTCCTTTTCTACTAGTTTTTTTTTATTTTTTTAGTTTTATTTCCTTGACCTTCTGCCTCTTTTCTTTGTTTTTTAGTTTTTCCTCCATCCAATGTCGATGTCCCATACATGTTCACCTTTATCGTTTTTTTTTTTTTTTCGCTTGGTATTTCTCCTTTCTTTCTTTTTTCAACAATCTTTCTCTTTTTTTTTATTTTATTTTACAAGCTTTCTCTTTTTTTTTTGCCTCTCCCCATCTTCCTCTTTTCTTTAGCAGCCCCTCCTAAACTCCAAAAAAAATTCCACCAGAAGCCTCTTTTTTTATCCTCCTCAAACCTTTCCTCACCAAGTTTTAATACTTTGTCTCTTTCTTATTTTTCTGTTACTCTTGCACCTCTTTTTTTTTTCCAGCCACTAACCCCTCATTTTTTTTTGTTGTAGATGGCAGCAACCTTGCCTTTTTCTGCCGCATGTTTCTGCCTTGTTTGCCTCTTTGTTTTAGAAAAAAAAAAAAAAGCTTTGTTTCTTGATGAATATAGGTCATTGGATTAAGTTACATCCAAGGCTAAAGTTTCTTTCTTTCCTTTTTTCAAAGAACAAGCTTTAACCGTTGGATCAAAATTTAAAAGAGATCCAATGGTTCACATTATTCATTGCAAAGGTTGAATTTTATGCTCTCCAAATCCACGAAAATGCCATTTTACCCATAATGCAAAGTTTTTGGTATTTAGGCCATTTTCTTAGAAATCAATATTTTCATGCTCATTTTCAGGATTTTAAAGCACCAAAATCATGAAATATTATAAAATTGAGATCTAAAAAGTTTCGTTAAAATGCGAGCTCAAAAAAGTTAAATTATAAAAATACTCCTATAAGGGTCTTTTGATAATTTTACACTTTTCAAGGTATAGCTATGATTTTAGATGCACCAAAAATCATGAAATATCATGAAATTAAGATCTAAAAAGTTTCCCAAAAATCTGAGCTCAGGAAAGTTAAATTACGAAAATACCCATATAATGGTATATTAGTAATTTTGCCCTTCTTGGGGTACATTAAAAACTTTAGTGTTTCGAAAACTCTCAACTTTAATTTTAAACCACACTGATTTCAATTAGGTTTTGAATTTTTAGAATTAACTCGGGCTTTATCCATTTTGATCAAATTTTGTGTAATTTTGACTTTGTTTGATCGAATTTGACCCAAGTTGACTTTAGATTTCTAAATAGGCAAATTTGTGAGCTCTTTATGGGTCCTAAATGGTTTCAGCCCATGTTCACAAATGAGCCTTAGGTCAATCATGTTGAAAAATGATCCAGACAAAATTCAATATCTACAACTACCCCTTTTTGCATACTTCTAAGAATCAAAAGTAATGCAAAGACATAAATGATAATTTTGTCCGGATAATGCTTTCGAGTGAGCAAACCCTTGCTTTTTTGTTTTTTTTCGTTTGTGTTGT